ACACACAAAACACACCAACACAAACAAACATACAAAAAACATAGAGATATTGTACATACAAACAAGCAAACACACGCAAAAAACACACATATACAAATACACACAAACACATACAAATTGTACATACAGAGACAAACATGAACCCACACATAAAACACACAAACAAACACAAAACACACATGCACACCTTAATGAGGTTTAATCTTATATAAACTTATTTAAAGTGAAGCGTTAGTGTTGTAGTGTGCTTTATTGTAAGAATGTGATCCCTAACTAGTCCACTTGTGTCTTCAAATCACCTCCAGCAAATGTAGACGAGCTCCAACTGTATTCACACCTATTGTTAAGCACTGTCCTCTCCTCTGTGTGTCTCCCAGTGAGTTTTGTGAAGGCCATGTATGACTATGAGGGTCAGACGGACGAGGAGCTGTCGTTCCCTGAAGGCGCCATCATTCGCATCCTCAACAAGGACAACCAGGAGGACGACGGCTTCTGGGAGGGCGAGTTTAACGGCCGAGTGGGCGTCTTTCCCTCCGTCCTGGTGGAGGATCTGACGGCCTCCGAAAATGGAGACGCTCACTGGGGAACAGACGCACAGGTGAGAGACGGGAATCTACACAAATCTACACATTCAGACTTTCTGCTCCTCCTTTATCCACTATTCCCTACATCGGCGTTTCTCAATTCTGCTCTCGTGCTGCATATTTTGCGTGTCTGTCTCATTTAACACAGCTGATTTAGATTTTTAATAATAATACATTTTATTTGAGGTGCCTTTAAACCACTCATGATCACCTTACATAAGAAGAAGCAGCAGTTTCAAAATGACACTAATATAATGATACTATGGGCCTACTCACACTGTTATCCGTATGGTGCCCAGGCCCGTTTCCCGTATCGTTTGAGAAGTGTGAGTGCGCCTGAATCAGGCTCAGTCACGGTTCACTTGGCCGGCCCTGGCCCGGTTATAAGAGGTGGGCCTGAGCGCGGTTCACTTGGGCTTTGTCGCGGTATGCTTGTAGTGTGAGTGCAAAATGCGCCAAAGCCCGAAACTGAAAGCGAGACGTGACTTTTAAGGGGCTGTTACATATGGATTTATTAATCATTCTTACTGTTCAGTGATCGCAAACTGCCGTAGTTTATTAAAGACAAGAACTCCTCACTGCACGACAGCTGCACGGCTTCAGCAGACCTCCTCATTCCTGCAGCACGAGAGCCTTATGATTGTTTATGAGCGCCGAAAGTGGCGGATCTGTTCGGCGAAATATCTGACTGCGTCATCGCATCCCTAAGGACTGTTTGGCGAAATATTTGACTGCATATTAAACGACTGAAACGATATAACTAGAGAAATCTCCACTGTGCTGCTGAGTGAGAGAGCGCTTCTCACTGAACAGTGCAGCAGCGATGACGTAAGCGTGCCGAAGCCCATTTGTGGTGTGAGCGCGGGCCGTCGGGGGAGATGGGAGGGGGGACAAGCGTGCTTTGGCCCAGTTCGAGGCAACTGTACCTAGTGTGAGTACGGCCTAAATCAACACATTCAGACTCTCTGCTCCTCCTTTATCCTCATTCACTATTCCCTACATCGGCGTTTCTCAATTCTGCTCTCGTGCTGCATATTTTGCGTGTCTGTCTCATTTTACACAGCTGATTTAGATTTTTAATAATAATACATTTTATTTGAGGTGCCTTTTAAACCACTCATGATCACCTTACATAAGAAGAAGCAGCAGTTTCAAAATGACACTAATATAATAACACTACTTACACTATGCTATCCGAACCGTGCCCAGGCCCGTTTCCCAGATCGTTTGAGAAGTGTGAGTGCGCTAAATCGGGCTCAGGCACGGTTCACTTGGCCGGCCCTGGCCCGGTTATAAGAGGTGGGCCTGAGCGCGGTTCACTTGGGCTTTGGTGCGGTATGCTTGTAGTGTGAGTGCAAAACGCGCCAAAGCCCGAAACTGAAAGCAAGACGTGACTTTTAAGGGGCTGTTTCATATGGATTTATTAATCATTCTTACTGTTCAGTGAACGCAAACTGCCGTAGTTTATTAAAGACGCAAACCCCTCACTGCACGACAGCTGCACCTTCAGCAAACCTCCTCATTCCTGCAGCACGAGGACTTTATGATAGTTTATGAGCGCCGAAAGTGGCGGATCTGTTCGGCGAAATATCTGACTGCGTCACCACATCCCTAAGGACTGTTTGGCGAAATATTTGACTGCATATTAAACGACTGAAACGATATAACTAGAGAAATCTCCACTGTGCTGCTGAGTGAGAGAGCGCTTTTCACTGAACAGCGCAGCAGCGATGACGTAAGCGCGCCGAGGCCCAATTGTGGTATGAGCGCGGGCCGTCGGGGGGAACTAGAGGGGGGACAAGCGTGCTTTTTTCCGGTTCGAGGCAACTGTACCTAGTACAGCCTATAATTAGACTCTCTAGGATTCTGCCATCTGTGGATTTAACAGAAGCTCAAGCAAAAGTTGCAAACTTCCAGCATATTTTGGACAATTTGGGACCTACCTGCCAACATTCAGATCATAAAATCCTGGAGTGTGCGCAAAGTGAAGAGCGAGGGCAGGGCCGGATTAACCAATGGGGAAAGAAAGAGGAGAGGAGGCATCTTTATTGAGGCATGTTCCATACACACCTTCTTTAAACAGACCCATGATCAGGAGAACGAGGCTATGAAGAAGACCTTATGGTAACGTTAGATGAGTAAGCTAGCATTAACCAGACGGAGGAGGCTAACGGCAGCGCAGCTCAAACAGGATTCATCATGTCAGAGAGACAGACAGAGAGAGGGAGAAAGAGAGAGAAAGGCCCTGAAGAAGAGAGAGACCGAAGAGGTATAATGTGTGTGATTTCGGATACTTTTAGGTTTATAATCAAGTTGATCTATGCTGTTTGCCTGCTCTTCATCACGAGGAGAGTAGAGAATATACGAGGAGAAGAAGAGAGAGACAATAAATCATTAATAAGTGTATGTATTATGAAAGACTCAGATTCATAGAACTGGATTGGAGAAGCATTGTGTGTTATATGCCATGCCAATAATATGCTTCATACGTTTGTAAAAGTTATATATAGTTAAAAAAAAAACTTTAAAAATTTAATAAAATAAAAAATAAATATATATTAATAATAAGTTTACTAAAAAACATGAATTTTCACTAGTTTTATTAGTATTTTTTTCAATGCTTTGAAAAATAAGTTAAATCTTTGTAGACTATAAATATATATGTATATATCATTTACTTAAATATATGGGCAACAAAATATAGATTCATTTTATTTAAATTATTATATTATTCTTAGTTTTTAAGTTAACTCTAGGTGTGCGGCCGGGTAGGAGACCTTACAAGTCAATGTGCCCAGGGGCCCCTGAGTTCTTAATCCGGGCCTGAACGGGGGGAAGGTGCGTGCAAACTGAAGACCGGGTAGCAGGTATGAAGATGGTTGCGCGTTGGGTTCAGTGTGCATGAGGACTGAACCAAAAAACTAGCCGGACTGTACCAAAAAGGCTGAGAAGCGGGGGCGGGGGAGATTTTATGGGAGACAGAACAATACGGGAGATGGGTCTGAATTACGGGAGACTCCCGGGAAAAACAGTGTTGGCAGGTATGATTTGGGACTCTGTTCAAGTTCCCGTCATGCCACAGAGTGCCATCTGAACAGTTTTACATAGGATTGTGCTTTAGATGCCATCTTGTGGTCAGATGTGAAAATGCACTCAGTGCAAGATCTCTCACAGTGCATTATGGGTATTTTTTTAACTGGTGAGTGTACACTACCTGACAAAAGTCTTGTCGTTGACGCTAATTATAAGAGCAACAGATAATAAGTTGACTTCTAGTTGATCATTTGGTAAAGTGGCAGAAGGTGGATTTTATTGATGAATCATCTGTTGATCTGCATACCAATCATCACCAATACTGCAGAAGACCAACTGGAACCAGCATAGACCCACGATTCTCACAGAAATCAGTCAAGTTTGGTGAAGAAAAAATCATGGTTTGGGGTTACATTCAGTATGGGGGTGTGCGAGAGATCTGCAGAGTTGATGGCAACATCAACAGCCTGAGGTATCAAGACATTTGTGCTGCCCATTACATTACAAACCACAGGAGAGGGACAATTCTCCAGCAGGATAGCGCTCCTTCTCATACTTCAGCCTCCACATCAAAGCTCCTGAAAGCAAAGGTGCTCCAGGATTGGCCAGCCTAGTCACCAGACATGAACATTATTGAGCATGTTGGGGTAAGATGATGGAGGAGGCATTGAAGATGAATCCAAAGAGTCTTGATGAACTCTGGGAGTCCTGCAATTATCCTGCATTATTTTCCACTGCAGCTTGACTTTATATGCTATACTGGACATTATTTCTGTTCAGTGACAAGATTTTTGTATAATTAAAGTCAGACCTTACTGTCCTAGTGAAATAACTAAAAGTTAAGGCATGATCATGGTATTTTATTATTATGATAAAGTTTTAATCTGGTAAAATAAGCGTAATCTAGAGGCCTTTGTCTTTCATATAAGCCACTTCTGATACCAAATGATCAACTAGAAGTCAAGGTATTATTTGTTGTTTCTAAAACCTGGATAGATGATAAGACTTTTGTCAGGTAGTGTACATTGTACGCTCTTTATTGCAATGCATTATGGGATTGATTGAGTGTACTTTACAGCATCCACTATGATTTCGGACACCACTACAAACAGCTGCTGCCTAAAATAGGTATACTGTGTGATTTCAGATACGGCCTGAGAGTGTTTCTGAGTTGGTTTGATTTCTGAATCCTAACGCTGATTAAAGGCGTGACGTTTCCTTCCTGTAATCAACGTCATCCTGTTTTAGACCAGATCAAAGCATTTCTCTTTATCCTGTTGGAGATAATCATGTACACGCAGTCATAATACACCTCAATTTGTTGATTTTATAGCACAATATAGTCAACTTAACCCCATAAGGGCGCAATATTTAAGCCATTTTTCATGAATAATATTCTAAAACCACTAGAACAGTGTTATAGACTTGGCTGACTTGTGTACTGAAATTATCCCAAATGTTTGGAAGAATGTTAAAATGCAGGGAAATAAGCTATTTTACCTAATGAGATGACTTCAAACTTTCCAGCTGTTGTACGTATTAATGAATATGTGTCACTGAGTGAATAAAAAGGTTTATAGATGCCTATGTGCTAGCTTAGCAAGCTAACGTATGTTGTCGTCCAACAGGCGTCTCCATGCCAAAGGCTTCACTCGTCTCTTCCTCCTCTGCCGCTGTACGATCAGCCACCCTGCAGTCCGTTCACCAGCCCGGAGACCAGCAGCGCCCCATCTCTGCCTCGCTCGCCCTCCGTCAATGGGGAACACAAGCTGCCCGTCCCACAGAAAACCACAGCGCAGAGTAAGACATCTGTCCTCATGAAGCCTCCATTTTTACTTCACGTGTTGATTTAAAAGGATAGTTCACCCAAAATTACATTTTTCTCACATTTTGAGTAGTTGCAAATCTATGAGTTTCTTTTTTCTTTTCACTGGTGCACACAAAAGAAGATATTTTGAAGAATGTTGTTAAAGGTGTTGGATTAAAACTTAGTGGTTGAACAAAGTATTGCAGTCCAAATTCAAAATATCAGAGAGGTTTTTTTTTTTTTTTTATTCCGACCCCTTCTCCAATCATGCAAAGCACATTTAGGTTGCCAGATTGGCAGCATCAAAAGGAGCGAGTGTGCCTGAAGAATGAGCTTTACACTGTGAGTTGCTCCACTGATAATTACATTTGTAATATTTGAATTGTTTGCTAAATAAAAGCCAACTCATGTGGAATTTTGTAATTCTGAATCTGCATCTCATTTTAGAGGCTGCCACTGTCCTCTGGAGGTTGCATTTTCACTGTAAAAAAAGTTCCACATAAATCATTCATGTTGTGTAAACACAAACTGATTTATTTAAGTGAACGGAACATAAAACAATTACGTTATCCCTAAAAAAATATCAAGAATTGTTTTAATTTAGCTCTTTTTTAAATAAGTAATTAACAATTTTTTGAGTGTATATTGAGCAGAGGTGTAAAGAGTACCTGAAAACCATACTTGAGTAAAAGTACAGATACCTTACTGTAAAAAAGACTCCATTACAAGTTACAAGTCACCAACTCCAATAAGACTTGAGTAAAAGTGTTAAAGCATCCGATTTTTAAAATTACTTAAGTACTTTACTCATACTAAATGTAGGCTCAGAACATCAAAATACGTTTTATTTCCTAATATAGACATTAAATTGAACACCTCAATGTTTCAAAATGGCAGAACAAAATAGATGAACAAAATAAATAAAACAAAAAGTCTCAAACTCAAATGTTCAAAAAAGGCACAAACAATTTTCAAAAAAAAAAAAAAAAGTAGTAAAACTTAGTAAAAAAACAAAAAAAGTCAGAGCTGACTTTCATGTGATTCACCTCACCATCTCAAAGGGGGGCAATACTTTTATTTTGAGTAGTTTTTCAATTGATTAGGTGTTTTTTCTGTAGTAAAATTAAACAGAGGAGCAGTGTTATTTTTCAACTTAGTAAACTACATATAAGGCCCGGATTGGCTAATCGGGAGGACCGGGAGAATTCCGAGAAATCCGTTTTTTGGCCGCGAGGGCCGGTATCTCTAGCTCCAGAATCTGTTGCTCTCAGCAGTCACACTTTTTAAATGTATTTATTTATTTACTTGACCACAGCCTTTTTATTAATTATTTTACCGCAGCTCTGCTCTTTTTATCTATTTTCTCGCTGAGTCACTACTTGATGAACAGTCGTTGTAGTTCAGTGGATAGCATGTTAGTTTGCGACGCCGCGGACCCGGGTTCGATCATTGTCTGAGTAATTTATTTTTTTTTCATTTTTATTGTTGAGACATATAATACTGTTAGGGTTGTTGAACATTTGAAGTTCTAAAGCAGCTGCTTTCTCAAAAAAATATGTGATAGTGTCATTAGAAACTGGTTTGGAAATGGCCTTATTTTAATATAGTCAGTCGTGAACTGAGGTGGGCCGGTCTGAGGCTTGAAACTCCAGGGCTGAAAAGGAGTCCCACTCCGGCCCTGCTACATATAAATTCAATGAAAAATACATCACAAATAGTCATGTCTCAGTGGTTTTTGCCATGTCAGTACCTGTATTAAATTCACATTAAATTAACATTAAACAGACACTTACTTCAATGTGTTTTCTCAAATTTGACGATAAATTCTTAAAAGCACTTATTTTCGTGGTTCGTGGCAAACAAGTGAGACATTGCATCCTGTAAGAGCCGTTCTGCACATCAGCAAATGAAAACTTTTCTTTCAGATAAGAGCATGAATGGTCATCAGTGCTGGCACTGCTTGATGTGCCGACTTCGGCTTCATCATTTGCTGCAGCCATGTCGCTAATTAAACACCTGGTATTAGGCAAGCTGCTAATTCACGTTCACATGATTTAGCTCATAAATAGCATACAGTACCTTCAGCAGCCTGCAGATGGCGATATCGCCTCGTCCGCCCAATTATTAGCCGTGGTAGATAACGATGCCAACTTGTCGCGAACAATACAACGTAACGAGTAACAATAAGCGCCCATTCAAATGTAGAGGAGTAAAGAGTACGTATATTCAATTAAATATGTAGTCGAGTAGAGAGTAAAAGTTGCTTATATTTTTAATACTCAGTACAAGTACAAAGTAGCCAAAAAATACTTAAGTAAAGTAACGAAGTACATTTACTTAAGTACTTTACACCACTGATATTAAGGCAGCCTTCATGACTAAAATTAAATACTCTGTTGTCCACCAAGGCAACCCGGGCTGCTGAAACATTATTGGCTAAACTGGCAGTGGGCGGAGTTACAGATAAAACAATGACAGACATTCTGACACTGAACACACATTTTCAGAAACTTTAGCATAGTTTTTCAGGAAAACAAGTATGTTCACTTGGCATGTTTCTTAAATATCTGTGTAGCAGAGGCCAGCTAGTGAAGTGCTGTGCAGGTAAACTTCACTCCTCTGGCTTCTAGCGACAGATGCTTGAGTTCATGGTCTTTAGCCTCCTTGGTAGAGCCACCGACCACCATGTGAAAAGACGCCGATTCGATCCCAGCTCAGAGCGGGTTGGGTGCTGTAGGCACATTCAAACATATTATGGTATCTTTATGCTTTAGAAGTCAAAAAAATGTTGCCATTGATGTTCGTAGGATATAAAAGAAATGCTTGGAGGTCAAACGTTTCCAACATTCTTCCATATATCTTCTGTGTTCTTAAGAGATAAGTCAAATAGGTTTGGTAGAAATGGAAGGAGAGTGAATGATGACGGTGTTATTGAATGAACTGTCTATTTAATTCCAGACTGTTTTGTGTTTGGTTCAGATCACAACTCCAGTTTAAGTCCAGAGAGTCCGGGATTTTCTCAGCCGCTGAGACTCACTCCTGACGGATCCGGCCCTGGAAAACTCAGACCTGTACGTCAACAAGTTTGCTTCATCTCAAGTCTGCTTGAATGCCTTATACATTATACATTTTATATATATATATATATATATATATATGAGCAATATTATACAAGTAGCAGAGTGATATGGCTGTATATCAGCACTGGTGGGAGGAGTGCTTTGGCTCGAGTGTGATATTGCGTTTATACAACAGTACTACATGAAATTCCATCAGTCTACAGAGATTTGCCAGTATTTCTCTGTTGCAATCAGGATATCACAATAATTAACCCTGAAAAACCAAAGCAAACACTACGGCTGCGTCCGAAACCGCCTACTACTCAATAGGTACTGCATTTGAATTTAAACGTACTATTCGGCCGTTAAAAAAGTACGTTTTATACAGTATGAATGTGAAAAGTATGAATGAAGTTCGGACGTACTACATCCGCCATTTTGTCATAATCACGTGACCTACCTGCGTCAGTTGCATCGCCTCACTTCCATTCATGAATTCTCTCGCGGGGCATTATGGGATAGCGCAGCGTGCATGGGATGCGCACTCCAGAATCTCGCCGGAAGTACTAAGTCATCCGGGTACTTATCGCATACTGATTTTCGAACTCTATGAATTCGGATATACTACTCGGCTCGCATACTGATTTAGCGTACTATATAGTATGGAAGTATGCGGTTTCGGACGCAGCCTACCAGTTTCTGTGGTATATATACAGCACTACAAAAGAGGGATCGACATAGAATGTCACTTACCGGATTTATAATGATTTGATCAGCTGTAGTTTGAATTTTAAGCTGAGCTTTTCTCCCATAAGGACTTATTATTCGGTCTCTGTCGCCATCTTGTGGTGGAGCATCAACCATCACTTTCTTTGATCTGCTCAGACAGGCTCATGGCAGCTGACGCACTGAATCTCCAAAATTATAAATATTTTAAAGTATTATATTTATATCCTTATAAATAAACTGCATAGTTGCAATCTAAGCAACTACATTCTTGACTAATAAAGCCTTAAAAGTACATTATGTTGCCCAAAAGCAGGAATATTTGCTCTATGTGGGTGGAGTAATACACAAGGGTGAAGAGGCTGTACGAGTGCTGTTATTTGCAAAGTATCACATGGCTATCAGCCAATCAGATTCAAGAACCAGACAGAAATGTTGTGTATATTTAGATTAGAAATGAAGTGTTAAGTATATTAAGATTAATAATAATAAGTGATAACAAATATGGTTTATGTTAAACAGAATGCTTCAAATGTGTTTTGATCTATATATTGTTTACATTTTAGTGTTAATCTTTTCAAATAAAACTAAAAGGTCTTATTTAACATATATTTAAAGAATTAAGAGTTTAATTTCTATAGTCTATGCATTGGTATATCCTCCTGAGACCCAAATAAATTTTTTTTAAATGTCCGTGATTTTCTACATCCTTTGGGTTAAAAAAAATCTACAATTTAAAGTTTTTACATTTTGTTTTTGTTTTTAATTTTACAGCATGTCCACTGTAGTGGACCACAGGACCATTTTAGTTCAAAATGACCAGACAACAAAACTGTACAGGAAATGGCTGTAAAGAGTTATTAATCCAATATTAATGTAACAGCCATTTTTTCCTTTTGTACTGAAATTCCTGAAACAGTTTATTCTGACAGAGAGTCGAACTAAAAAAAAAAAAAAAAAAGAAAGAAGTGACGTTAATCTAAAACAGGGGTGCTCAACCCTGCTCCTGGAGATCGACCTTCCTAAAGAGTTCAGCTCCGACCCTGATCAAACACACCTGAATCAATTTATCAGGACCTGATCAGCACTTGATAATTATAGGCAGGTGTGTTTAATATGGGTTGCAACTGAAATCTGCAGGAAGGTCGATCTCCAGGAACAGAGGCTGTTTCTCAATTTCAAGAACGCAGAGAACGGACTTGCGTTCTTGTGGAGACAGGTCTTGCCAGGTGTCCTCGGAAGAAGAACTCAGGAGACCGCAAGGCCAGAGAACGCATCCTTTGAGAAATGGGATGCTGCGTTCTTCCTGATGGTCATGTGAACTTCACGTGTTTTAAATGGAAATTATTTAAACATTACAGCACTCATACAATGATTTATTGTTTCCACCCTCTTCAAACTATATACTTTGCATGAAAACATTATAAATATACTCTGCACAATATAAATAAAACAAATTTTAATACGAATTTCAGCAAACAAACAACCCTTAATGTGTTTATTCCTTTATTAGTATATTCATGTTAATGATTAATTTCACTGCTTCATTTAGGGAAACTCCTGAGGTAAATAAGTGAAATCTCTGAACTTTAATAATAAATCTAAATAAAATGCAGCGCTTCCCACCTCCAGTCGCAATGACTTCTGGGACTTCCAGAGCGAGTTCGGTGCTCAAGTCTGCATCAGTGCGTCCTCCATATCAAGATCACATCCGGGACGTTTCACGCGTCCTCCGTACTTGCGATCTTGAGTATTGGAACTGAACTTAGGCAGCTGATGATGACGTTACACGAGGACGCAAGACCACTGAAGAAAGCATATTGAGAAACAGCCAGGGTTGGCCACCCCTGATCTAAAACAAATTTAACATCAAAACGATTTAAAACTGATTGTCATTCTCTAATTGTCTGATTGTCAGACTCTAAATCAGAGTCTCCCTCAACTATCTTATAAAGAATCCTCTCTGCTTCAGTTCTCCCTCCTACAACATGCAGTCATTAAAACATTAAGATGGTCCTGGGGTCCACTTTAGTGGACATTTAAAAAAGGATGATATTTTTAAACACAAACAAGTTAACAGATTTGAAAGCTAAATGTATTGTTCCTGACACTTTAATAAACAAATATAAATGTGATAATAATAGTAAAAAACATTTGAAAAGCTCAATTTTACATGCCTTTCTCCTTCCCATAAAATATGCTTGTTTGTATGTCGGCCATTTTGGATGCAGTGTAAGAAGTGGTTCCTGGCATGCCAGCCAATCAAAAGACATATCACTAGGATTTCCTCTGAACAGTACAACAGGACTTGAAAGAGTAGCTCAAAAAATACAAGGAAAATTCATGAAAACACAGTCAATGTACGGAGTCTCAGGAGGATATATGTGCCCTGCTAAAAAATCCATCTTAAACCAGCCTAGGCTGGTTGGCTGGTTTTAGCTGGTTGACCAGGCTGGTTTTAGAGGGGTTTTGGCCACTTCCAGGCTGGTTTCCAGCCATTTCCAGCCTGGTCTTAGCTGGTCTTAGCAGGCTGGAAAATGACCAGCTAAATCCAGCTAAAACCAGCTTGACCAGCCTGGTTTAAGCTGGACATAGCTGGTTTTGGCTGGGCTCCCAGCCTGCTAGGCTGGTCAAGATGGTTTTAGCTGGTCACCACCCAGCCTGACCAGCTAAGACCAGGCTAGAAATGGCTGGAAACCAGCCTGGAAGTGGCCAAACCCCTCTAAAACCAGCCTGGTTGACCAGTTAAAACCAGCCAACCAGCCTAGGCTGGTTTAGGCTGGATTTTTCAGCAGGGTGTGATTGTTTTCAGTCAAGTAATTCAATTACTTATTGAGTAACTGTTACTTTTCTGATGAAATAGAAAAGTTATTAAAATAATCCACAACATAAAAATTCAGGGCGATATATATTTTATAAATTAAAATGTTTTATACTTAAAAATTTTTTTTTTATTATTACTTCTACACATATATGTGTGCATAGGTGTGTTTTTTCGTATTTAATTAAGCGTTTTGCATATTATTATAACAATTTAGTAAAATTAAGATGTATTATACTTAAACTCTGAAAACTGAACTGACACCGTGTCAATTTACTATATCAGTGGTTCTCAAACTGTGGTACGTGCACCACTAGTGGTACGCGGGCTTCCTTCTAGTGGTGCGTGGAGGAATCAAATTTGTAATATGTACATGCTACATATATTTCAAAATTTATCAAAAATTATTTATATATGAATATGACATAATAATATTCATTATATGACATATATAGCCTATATTTCTGAGGTCCAGGCAACATTTTCAGGTGTTTATGAATTGGCTACTATGTTAATACCTTACATTTAAGTAAAGCTCTTTTCTTTTGACCTTTTACACATTTTAATTTAAATGTTGACTTTTTTAGTTTGTTTTTTACATATAAGCACAGCACAGTGTTAACGTTCAGACTATTTATGTTTAAAGTGGCTGACAATAATAAATATTCTTAATAATATGAATTAAGCTGCCACGTTTTTGAACTGTGAAGAACTGTAGCTGCTTTACTGGGCCTGCTACTCTACTGTAGTTCAATGCTGCTCATTATGGGGGTACTTGGAGAGACATTTTTTTTTTTGAGGTGGTACTTGATGAAAAAAGTTTGAGATTCACTGTACTATAATATTCTATGTGAATCTGCTTTGACACAATCTACATTGTAAAAACGCAATAGAAATAAAGGTGAATGGAATTGAACATTAAAAATATGAAAGATTTTTTATTTCTTCTATACGGGTATGTGTGCTTGTGTGTGCTTGTGTTGTTTTGTTTGTTATTTAATTAATTGTTTTGCATATTATTATATCAATTTAGTCATATTAATATAGGAAATCTATCTGCTCTGAACTGCTTTATTTTGTGTGTGTGTGTGTGTGTGTGCAGGTTCGAGCGGCTCCTCCTCCTCCGAAGCAGCACGTTCGCCGGGCGGTGGAGAAAACTGAAGAGGTGGAGATCACACTGGTGTAGAGCTGAGGCTGACAGCAAACACCACCTGACCTCTGACCCCTCCCACTCCTCACGGAAGGGGGCGGGGCATGCGTTATCCCACCCAATGAGCATCCTTAGATCCCAACGGGGGGTGGAGAACAGCGTCTCAAAAAGCATCGCCCTGTTTTACATAAACAAACAAACAAACACCTCTTTCGGCGTCACACACTGTTTGGTGCCTTAAACCGCTTTCATGCCAAACTCTAATCCCTGTATTCGTAATTACTTTTATTGCGCATCGGGATCTGCCAGTAAATTCACTTCATTTGGGTTGGCTTGTAAAAGCGTGCGGAGAGAAATCAAATACAAGGGTGCTAAAAAGAGGCTGCGCTTGCACATCCATCTCTTCATCGGGCATTTGAAGAGCTGAACATGCAATACAAGGAATCATGGGAGGATACTAAAAAAACGGGGTCACCAATAGTCCTACCATTCATGTATTTCATATGTAATAGCACAGTACATTACTGTCGTCATAGGAATGTTATATTCACGTTCGACATGGCAGATCATATGGACGTCTCCAGGAGAAAGGGAACTGTACATAAACGGAAAAAGAGGAGGGTTATGAAAAACGAGAGGAAGGCTGGTTACTTCGCTCTTTGTACCCCTCAGTTCCGCTTGCCTCTTCTGTCTTGTGTTGATCTGAGAAGTACTAACTACATAGCTATATCCTTTTCTTCAGCTTTTCATTATCAAGACCAGTGTTTGTATGTATTACTAATATTTAGTCCTCGAAAAATCGAATCTGAAGACGTTTCTGTACACATTTCGTTTCCGCGCTCTTCATGGAAATATATACATCATGATAGGAGTATCAGATAATGTGCTTTTTACACCCGGGTTTCTTTCTTATATTGAGCGTCACGGCAGTATTGAAGATTGTGAGGGGATTCGTTCCCTACAACAAGCACAGAAAAAGGTTGACGGAAAGATGGATGGGGATTACAGAGGGATTGTTCACTCCAAAAATGATTTAGCTGTTCATTTACTCATTGGGTTTAATACATTAAAGGGACAGTTCACTCCAAAAATGAAAATTACCTCATCATTTACTCTCTCTTTCAAACCTTTATGAGTTTCTTTCACAAGAGAAGATATTTAGAAGAATGCTGGCATCCATCGGCTTCCATAATAGGAGCAAAAATTACTATTGAAGTCAATGGGTGCCAGCTAGAAGCATTCTTTGAAATATCTTCTATCTTGTTCTGTTGTACACAAATAGGTTTGGAACAAGTGAAGGGTGAGTATACGATGGCGGAATTTTCATTTTTGGGTGGAAAAAAGTTGACTTTTGTTGTCTAGGGTGATTTAAAACATGCCCCCATCACTTTTAGAGTCAGGAAAGCACATACAGGCAAAACGAGTACAATAGACAAAATGAATACCTCTGGCTGATAATGTAAGATTAAAGGGATAGTTGATTCAAAAATAAAACAATTTACATCTAATTTACTCATCTTTAGGTAATCAAAGATGTTAGTGACTTCTTATTTACTTCAGTACAGAATTAAAGAAGATTTTAAGCTGAATCTTTAATGATTTGTATAATGGAAGCAACATAGACATGCAAACAAGTCTAAATCAATCCCATTGACTTCTGATGATACACTGAGCTTTAATAAAGGAATATGATCGCTATATGCAACAAGCTTATTATTATTCACTATTTTATTAGCTTTAGTTCACAACATGGGCAAAGTCTGGCACTCAAATTTGAGTTCATTGACTCAACAAAAATAAAACATGCTCATCGATGCCACCATCATTTTTAGAGTCAAACAAGCACAAACAGGCAAAATGAAATGAATACCTGCGGCTCAAACACTAATCAAACACACCTGGGCTGGCTAATCTAGCTTTTACTAGGCTTTCTAGATTGGTCCTTGCAGGTGTGTTGAGGCAAGTTGGAGCTAAAGTCTGCAGGACACCGATCCTCCAGGACCGAGTTTGGACACCCCTGTACTAGGCTTTCTAGAAATTGTGTATTAAAGGAATAGTTCACCCAAAACTGACAATTCGATCATTTACTCTCACTTTTCACAAACCTTTATGAGTTTCTTTGTTCTGATGAACACAAACGAAGATATTTTGAAAAATGTTTGAAACTGGTTTTCATTGGCATCTATAATGTTTGCCTATGGTGCATTTTTGACTATGGAAGTCAATGGTTACTGATTTCTAACATTTTTCAAAGTATCTTCTGTTGTGTTCTTCAGAAGAATAAAACTCATCTCGATTTGGAATCACTTGTGTGACTAAAATAGCGAGAATATTTATATTTTTGGGTGAACTATTTATAATAAACTTTCATTTAGTAAATAAAGTTCAGCTTCTTGCACAGGCTGATCGGTTCGCTTCATAAGCGATGTTTATGTGTTTATTTTGAATGTCAAAAATGGGTAACTATTAAACAAATGACCACAATTTCAGCTACTAAATCTTCTTTATTCCTCTACTGGAGGAAAAAATCACCTTCATCTTTGATTTTAAAGACAAATGTTTGCTTTAATTGTCCCTATATCGCTTTATGCAGTGAAAACAGCATAATTTCTAGCATACACTTGATAATTCAGTTCATAAGAGCTCAGTGTATCGTCAGGAGTCTCTTTTTGACTCTAAAAACGTGATTTAATTTCATGAATAACTGCAAATATTTTCATACACAGCAGTATTAAAGAAATAGTTCACCTTCCTTTACTTGTTTTCTTCTAATGAACACAAAAGAAGATATTTTTTAAAATGTTTGAAACCGGTACCCATTGACTTCCATAGTATGTGTTTGCCTATGGTGCATTTCTGACTGTGGAAGTCAATGGTTACAGATTTCTAACATTCTTCAAAATATCTTCTTTTGTGTTCTTTAAAAGAATGAAACTTTTTTGGAATCACTGAGTGACTAAAATCGTGAGAATATTTAGATTTTTGGGTGAACTATCCCTTTAAAGCTTTTCATTTAGTAAATAAAGTTCAGCTTCTTGCACAGGCTGATCGATACACTTTAGAGAAGCTGAGTGAATTAATTTAGACTTGTTTATATGTTTATTTTGAATCTCAAAAATGGGTAACCATTGAACAAATCACATCAAATGACCACAATTTCAGCTACAAAATCTTCTTTAATCCTCCACCGAAGGAACAAATCACCTTCATCCTTGATGGTAAATGTAATTTTTTGTGTGAACTCTCCCTTTATCGCCTTATGCAGTGAAAACTGAGCGTAATTTCTAGCATAGACTTGATTATTCAGTTCATAAGAGCTCAGTGTATCGTCAGGAGTCACACATGTGTTACTTTTGACTCCAAAAATGCGATTAAACTTCATGAATACCCTGCTGAAAAATCCAGCTTCAACCAGCCTAGGCTGGTTGACTGGTTTTAGCTGGTCAACCAGGCTGGTTTTAGAGGGGTTTTGGCCACTTCCAGGCTGGTTTCTAGCCTGGTCTTAGCTGGTCAGGCTGGGAGATGACCAGCTAAAACCAGCTTGCCTAGCCAAGCTGGGAGTCCAGCCAAAACCAGCTATATCCAGCTTAAACCAGGCTGGTCAAGCTGGTTTTAGCTGGATTTGGCTGGTCATTTTCTGGAAACCAGCCTGGAAATAGCCTAAACCCCTCTAAAACCAGCCTGGTCAACCAGCTAAAACCAGCCAACCAGCCTAGGCTGGTTTAAGCTGGATTTTTCAGCAGGGTAACTACAGATATTTTCTACTGAAGAAGAAAAACCTGATCTGATGACCTGAGAATGATCAGCAGATGCTCATTTTGAAGTGAATACTCTCGTAATTTCAGCTGATGCAGGCGAATCTATTACCATGTCCTAAGTGCATTTGCTCAGTACAGGGGGCAGCTACGTTTTGTTTCTATTATTATTCTTTCTTTTATTTGCAGTTAAAGACATGCATTGTTCATCATACGTATCCACCATAATAGCATCTGTATATTCAGGCATATCTCCCAGCACTTTTCTGGCATTTCACTGCTTGATCATCTTTTATATCCCGACTGCCTCTTTTTCCGATGCTAAAGCTGCCCGGCGTTGTGTTCTTGATCCGGTGAGAGTGACTGATTGTAGTTTGCCCATAATGTTACGTCGATTCCATAATATTAAAAATAAAAAATGCATCCTTTTTTCTGGGATGGTTTAGTCGTGTTAAGCAGGAACAGGTCATTAGGGAAAGAGCGAGTGGGAGGAAAGAAGCATTTGTTTTGGTAGCCATTTTGTTTTTTTTAAATCGGAGCGGAAGATTGTTTTGCGGATCTTCCCTTTGTTTCCTCGGTCACAGCCTGTTTTCTTGTTGATCTCGTTGAGATCTTTTGAATGTTATCGAACTTGTTTTGAAGTTTATGGTTAGAGGTTAAAGCCCATCGTGTCAAAAACTGTTCTCTCCTATGAAACGAACGCAGTCTTTTTATACTCACTTTTTTTTTTTTTTTTTTTTATTGGCGCTCCCCAGTTTTCCTGGCCAGTTTCAACTCTTTGGAGCTTCTACAGTATAGCGTTAGCTGCTTATTCTAGTTGTTTTTAATTTGGAAAGTGATTTTATTTGCGATTTATTAAAATTTGAAGGTGTTTCCGCGCTGCTAGTAATTAATAAACGAATAAATAACAGATGGATTAACAACAATTGACTGTTGCTGCAGTGACAATATCAGAGAACAGGTGAAAAATATTCTTTCTGCATATTATTAGCTGTAAAAATATTTGTATTTATTGTGTACAAAATGTTAAATAAAAAAATTGGGGAAAGTGTTTCTGGGTTTTTTTTTCTTCTCGTCTTGCAGATCGCTTTTATTTTGTTAAGTATTTAATGCTTTATAGGAAATATAAAACTTGTCGGCACCAATGGTGTACACTACTCAACAGAAGTCTTGTCGAGTAACAGATAACAACTTGACTTCTAGTTGATCATTTGGTAAAGTGGCAGTGATTTTTCAGCAGAATCATCTGTTGATCTGCATCCCAATCATCACCAATACTGCAGAAGACCTACTGGAACCAGCATGGAGCCAAGATTATCACTGAAATCAGTCAAGTTTGGTGAAGAAAAACTCATGGTTTGGGCTTACATTCAGTATGGGGGTGTGCGAGAGATCTGCAGAGTGGATGATCAACATCAACAGCCTGAGGTATCAAGACATTTGTGCTGCCCATTACATTACAAACCACAGGAGAGGGACAATTCTCCAGCAGGATAGCGCTCCTGCTCATACTTCAGCCTCCACATCAAAGCTCCTGAAAGCAAAGAAGGTCAAGATGCTGCAGGATTGGCCAGCCCAGTCACTAGACATGAACGTTATTGAGCATGTCTGGGGTAAGATGATGGAGGAGGCATTGAAGATGAATCCAAAGGATCTTGATGAACTCTGGGAGTCCTGCAGGAGCGCTTTCTTTGCCATTCCAGATGTGTTTATTAATCAGTTTATTAGTAAGTTTGAGTCTAAGCAAAGTCAGATCTTACTGTCCTAACGAAGTAATTAAAAATTAAGGCCCGATCATATTTTATTGTGGTAAAATAAGTGTAATCTAGAGGCCTTTGCCTTTCATATAAGCCACTTCTGATACCAAATGATCAACTAGAAGTCCAGGTATTATTTGTTGTTCCTAAAACTTGAATAGGCGACAAGACTTTTGTCAGTAGGTGTAGTGATTAGTGTCATGGCACTCCGGTGTTCAAGGCAACCTGAGTTAGATTCCCATCTCGAGGTTCTATGCTAATCCTACTAATCCTCTACTGTCATATCCATTAAAGTGCTTTGAGTGTCTGGAAAAGCGCTGTATAAATATAATAAAAAATAAATAAAAATGACAAACCTAATCTGAGTGTTCTGCATTTGAGTAAAACTAAATTAAATTAAAAGAAATAAATCAATACATTAAAAAAAAAAAAAACACACACATTAATAAAATAAAAGTGCGTTGCGTATATGCATAATTATAATATTTGGTTATTTAAAATGCTTAAAATCTATTGATGATTTATACTTGATTGTATATATAATTGCAGTTTACGTTACATTATACGGTTTAGTTCAATCACAGATCATTAAAAGATATATTTATTTCCAGTAAGTGGGGCATCGGCTGCATAGCTTATATGCTGGAATAGTTGGTGGTTCATTCTGCTGTGATGACCCCTGATAAAAAATCAGATAAAGCTGGCGTAAAAATTAATATATATAATTATTATAATGTTGTAAGTTATTACATAAATATAAATGTCCCATTTTTCCAAAAATGCTTCTTTGAAAATGCAGTTAAATAGAAAATAACACTTCTTTGTTACGTCATATGTATGTTACACAAAGTAGATGACAAACATTCATTCATTTTCCTTCAGCTTAGTCCCTTTATTGATCTGGGGTCGCCACAGCGGAATGAACCGCCAACTTATCCAGCATATATTTTACACAGCGGATGCCCTTCCAGCCGCAACCCATCATTGGGAAACATCCATACACACTCATTCACTACAGCCAAATTAGTTTATTCAATTCCCCTATAGCGCATGTGTTTGGACTGTGTTGGAAACTGAAGAACCCAGAGAAAACCCACGCCAACATGGGGAGAACATGCAAACTCCACACAGAAATGCTAACTGACCCAGCCAGGGATCAAAACAGCAACCTTCTTGCTGTGAGAGGATTGTGCTACCCACTGCGCCCCCATGATGCCAACATTTGAACATCCAAAGGTTGGTTAGTTATTATTAATTACATTATTATTTATTTTAATAAGCATTTTTATGACTATGAATATTTTAAGAGACATTTTTAAGCCTTTTTCCCCCCTCTGTTCAGATGTGTTTTTCTCTTTCAGTGTGTGTGTGTGTGTGTGTGTGTGCACGTGTTTTCGTGACATATCAGGACACAAATCTGTATAATGACATAGGTATGACACAGGTATTACAAAAAGAAGGTGAAATATGAGGACATTGGTGACGTCCTCATTTGTCTAAATGCTTTTAAATCCCACAGAATGAGTTTAATCAGAGTAAAGCTGCACACATCTCCTGTGATGGTTGGGTTTAGGGGTGGGGTGAGGTGAGGGCAATACAATATACGGTTTGTGCTGCATAAAATGAATGGAAACCCATGTAATGTCCCCACTTTTCACAAAAACAAATGTGTGTGTGTGTTGTATAATTAAAGCACATATTTTATTGTATTAATATTCTATGTATGGCAGCAGTTTAAGTGTTTTATACTAATACAGTATGTTATTTAAATGTTGTGTCATTATATAAATGTCCTATTTGTATAAAAATGCATCTTTGAGAATGCAGTAAACTAAAATAACACTGTTTGTAAATCCATACATATGTTATAAAGTAGATCACCAACATCTGAACATCCAAAGGTTAATTAAATACATGATTATTTGTTTTGATGCTTTTTTTTTTTGACTATGAATGTTTTTAAGAGACATTTCTAAGCATTTCTTGTACTCTTTCAGATGCATTCTTGTCAGATATGTGAATTTTCAACATCCATTAATTATTTTTTATTACATTATTATTTATTTTAATAAGCGTTTTTATGACAATGAATGTTTTTAAGAGACATTTTTAAGCCTTTTTTCTCTTTCAGATGCATTTGTGTGTGCGTGTCTACGTGTTTTTGTGACATATCAGGACACAAATCTGTATAATGACATGGGCATGACACAGGTATTACAAAAAGGAGGTGAAATATGAGGACATTGGTGACGTCCTCATTTCTCAAAATGCTTATAAATCCCACAGGATGAGTTTAATTTAACTGCACACAGTCTCCTGTGATGGTTGGGTTTAGGGGTGGGGTGAGGGCAATACAATATACAGTTTGGACAGTATAAAATGAATGGAAACCTATGTAATGTCCCCACTTTTCACAAAAACAAACATGTGTTTCATCAAATCATGTGAAAGTGGGTGTTTCTCCATGTCAATAACAGACGAGAGTTTCCTGCTGGAAATGAGATACGAGGCAAAGCTTGCATTCTCTTTGTCTCCATCCACAGGATAAGGAGTGTGTGGATTTCTCACATAGTTCTAGAACAAAATGTTTGCAGCAAGTTCATTTCACACAGATGCATGGTATGAGTAGGAAACGTCCACATTACAGGACACCAGATGGCTTGTGTTCAAGTTTATTTGTGCTCCAACCCTGAAGGTACGTTTCACAACTCAATCCGTTTCCTTTGGCTGATTTATATATTTAAATTCTGCAACCCATTCTGAAAGTTCTGAAAAGTATGTTGCCTATTTAACAAACTAACATTGTCAATAATGAATTATAACAAAGCATTCTGCATGACTTGTGTTAATGGTTTCATTTGTAAAAAGTGTAGCTTATAGGTAGGGCGGCACGCTGGCTCAGTTAGCATTGTCGCCTCACAGCAAGAAGGTTGCTGGTTCTAGTCCTGGCTGGATCAGTTGGCATTTCTGTGTGGAGTTTGCATGTTCTCCCCGTGTTGTTGTGGGTTTCCTCCGGGTGCTCCAGTTTCCCCCACAGTCCAAACACATGCGATATAGGGGAATTGAATAAACTAAATTGGTCGTAGGTGATGCGGTGGCACAGTGCGTAGCACATTCGCCTCACAAAAACAAGGTCACTGGTTCGAGCCTCAGCTGGGTCAGTTGGCATTTCTGTGTGGAGTTTGCATGTTCTCCCCGTGTTGGTGTGGGTTTCCTCCAGGTGCTCCGGTTTCCCACAAAGTCCAAAGACGTGGAATAGGTGAATTGGGTAGGCTAAAATTGTCTGTAGTTTATGTGTGTCAATGAGTGTGTGTGGATGTTTCCAAGTGATGGGTTGCAGCTGGAGGGGCCTCCGCTGTGTAAAACATATGCTGAATAAATTGGCGGTTCATTCCGCTGTGGCGACCCCTGATTAATAAAGGGACTAAGCCAAAAAGAAAATCAATGAATGAAATTGGCCGTAGTGTATGAGTGTGAATGGGTGTTTCCCAGTACTGGGTTGCAGCAGGTTCATTCTGCTGTGGTGACCCCAGATTAATAAAGGGACTCAGCCGAAGGCAAATGAATAAATGAATGTACTTAGAGGTAAAAAAAAATAAAAAAAAAATTGTTTGATTTTGGTGCCTGCATCAAATTAAATACACAAAAGTGTCAGTCACACTTTACAATAAGGTTCATTAGTTAATGCGTTTACTGACATGAACTAATCATGAACAACACTTGTACAGCATTTATTAATCATAATTGAACATTTACTAATGCATTATTAACATTCAAGTCCATGCTTGTTAACATTAGTTAATGCACCATGAGTTAACATGAACTAACAATGAACTACTGTATTTTCATTAACTAACATTTACTAACATGAACAAATACAGTAGTAAATGTATTGTTCATTGTTTGTTCACGTTAATAAATGCATTAATTAACATCAACTAATGACCCTTATTGTAAAGTGTGACCAAAGTGTCTTTATTAACATTAAAAGCATGCATAAATGTCTATTTTTATATAACTTTTATGATACTAAATTTCAAAATGTTTCAGTCATTTTTTTTAATTAATTTTACATTTAAAAACTATTTAGCAGATTATTCTGGACTGTAATGATCAATTAACTGTGAGTCATTATGTAAAGTTTTTGCTTTCAAAAAGGTAAAAACCAAGTAGTCTGAACAGCAGTGAAGAATAAAGATTTAAAATGACTGAGTATTTGGGAAAATACTTTAATCTAACGTCAAATAATCCATGTTTGAAAGTCTGATGAGATTTCTTTACTGTTAAATTAAATGATATTTTAGTTTCCGTCTTCTGCAAATCAAAGTAAAACCCTGATAATTATTAATTAATTCATTTTTCCTTCGGCTTAGTCCCTTTATTTATCAGGGGTCGCCACAGTGGAATGAACCGCCAACTATTCCAGCATATGTTTTATGCAGCGGATGCCCTTTCCAGCTGCAACCCAGTACTGGGAAACACCCATACACTATGGTCAATTTAGTTTATTCAATTCCCCTATAGCACATGTGTTTGAACTGTGAGGGAAACCGGAGCACCCGGAGGAAACCCACACTAACATGGGGAGAACATGCAAACTCCACACAGAAACACCAACTGGCTCGGCGGGGGCTCAAACCAGCAACCTTCTTGCTGTGACACGGCAGTGCTAACCACTGAGCCACCCACCCAGGGGTAAAACTGAAATCCCAAATTAAATATTGGCTCTGTTTTTCAGACTCTGTGGTCGAGAGGACGTTAATAAGGCAGAAAGTCTTTCCCAGACTGAGGGAATACTGCAGATCTACATACGGACTCGACTTCAGAGTGAGCAAACCCAATAAACAGTCTAATCCTGAAGTAGGACATTTACAGTTGTTTTGTCTCCCTCAGATGATGATGACAAATGATTTATGGCACAAGCAATTGTGTTTTAATCCATCATCATGAATAAATGATGTTGATTTCTTTCGCTGGAACATGGAGCGTTTAGCAAGCCGCTCTAAAGCTAAACATCGTGCATTTTTAATAGTGCAAATGACAAAAGACTGACTGGGATATGATTGTTAACACTGCTCTATAAACGCATGTTGATCGGCTGTGTCTGTGGTTGTTTTGGCTGATCCAGTAGTTGCGGTGGTTTTAGATGTATTGTCTGGAGTGGGAGGCAGAATGTCATTTGTAAATATATGAGATCAATAACAATATGTGGACCCATCCTGTTAACAGGTTATTGACCCGTATGAAGCCACAAAGCCCAAAAACTGGCCTACGCAGCAGGAGCGACTGCGTATACTGGAGGACTGCTGGAACAATTCTCTACACTCTTTCTTTGTGGTAAAAGACTTTTGGCTTTGTATGGATGGAATTGTGTGTGTAAATGTATAGAAACAGCTCTAAAGATTGTTAAAATAGTTTATAAATAAATAAACTATTTGGCCCTATAATGCACCCAGCACAATAACGCCCCATTCACACAGGGCGTCAGCGTCAACGCTTTCCATTCACTTTGAATGGGTGACGTCAGGCGTTGCCGAACTGCATTGTGGATCCGGCGCTCGCTGCAGAAGTTGCGACCATAGATATATACATTAGATGTCGCCTGGCCTATTGTTGTCTATTGGACGGAATGCGTCAACAGCGCCGCCATCTTGGTACAGGGTACCGCTCCTTTGAAATGAATGCGGGACCAATGTACAGTGGAAGACTGTGGCCATCCAAAGCCAAAGATATCCACATATCCACATATATCTATGATCGGGAGTTTTCCTGGATGTTAGTGTGTAATTTTTTTTTCTAATTACGAAAATTATAATTTTACATCACTTTTCACATTGATGGATGGTCAGCAAAATAATCTTGTTTTTCATTTTGACATAAGATTATTTTGCTTACCCCATTGCCAGATTATTTAACTTGTTTTAAGGAAAACTCACTTAATTTTGGCATATTATATCTTATAACAAGACAGTACGTTTTGCTTGTCTAGAAAATTCTGCTTGATTTAAGAGTTTTAGATATTTGAACTAGAAACAAGACAAAAAATCTAAGTAAGAAAAGCATTTTTTGCAGTGTATTTTTCCGTCCTTAAAATAGCAAAAGTGGATTCGGACTCGCCCTTAATGCTTTTGCGCCCTGTGCTTTAGACCTCTATTTTAACGATCTAGGCAAAAAGTCTAAAGCGAAGGGCGCAAAAGCATTAAGGGCGCGTCCCAATCCACTTTTGCTTAAGGACAGAAAAACACGATCTGCACTCCGGCACATGGTCTAACAGGGTTGTGCTTATTCTCTTAATGAGATATGGTTGTGTTTTGATCCATTTATTTAGTTTAAACGCAAAGATTTGTTTCAAAACTATTTCTAAATTCAGTTCTAATTTCCAGCAAATGAATAAATGAACAATAATAACGAAGTGTGCTCAAATAACTGAGTTCTTTCCAAATACACGTCCTGTTCTTATGATCCATATGGTGATGCAGACTTCTCCAAAACCCGACAGGTAGACAAATCTAAGCTTTGTTTTTAATAACACAAATATAAAGATGCAGATAACAAATAATGCTGATAATAATAATAACATTATACAAAATCCAATTGTCATGAATAAACTGAAAAAAGCCGCCCGAGGTGAAGAAAGCATTCAGGCAGTGTTTTTTTATTTATGTAGAAATATAATAATTTTGTAATATTTTAATCCTTTAATTATTTTTCCTTTGTAAAGATATTTGTGTGTTGCCATACAACCTATGTGTCAGCGAGGCCTACAACTAACGCGCTTTGCGCTGGACTTTAGACCTGCTTTTAGTTAGTCAATGGCACGGTCTATTTTAGTTCCTCAATATAGCAACCCGTCAGCAATGCGCCCTAACACACCTCTTTTCTAGAGCAAAATGCCCATGACTCCACAAGGTGGCGCAAATGGATTTGCTATTTAAACAACATGTCAGAAAACAGGAAAATGAAGGTTGCATTCTGACAATAGCAACATGACAGGGCAAACACGTCTTGCACCTTATTGCTCCGGGTGTACGATAGGGCACTATATTATCTATGCCAGGATAACATTACAAAATATTTGACTAGATATTTTTCAGGACACTAGTATTCTGCTTAAAGTCACATTTGAAGGCTTAACTAGATAAACTAGGCAAGTTCGGGTAATTAGGCAAGTCATTGTATAATGATTGTTTGTTCTGTACACAATCAAAAAAATATATAGCTTAAAGGGGCTAATAATATTAATAAATTAAAATGTTTTTTATAAAATTATGAACTGCTTTTATTCCAGCTGAAATAAACCAAGTAAGACTTTCTCCAGAAGAAAAAATATTTTAGGAAATACAGTGAAAATGTTCTTACTCTGTTAAACATCATTTGGGAAAAGCAAATCACAGAAGGGCAAATAAATCTGACTTCAACTGCACCGTGTATAAATAGATTTTGTTATGATCTCATTATGTGGTGTTAGTAACAAATAAATTTTCTTTTTTGTTGCTCGTTTCAGGGGTTGGTAGGTGAACAATATGGAGATGCTTGTTTACCTGAGCAGGTCGAGGCCTCAGAGTTTCAGCTTATTCTCCAGGTATGCCAGCGCATGGGCTTTAAGACTGACGTTCTGGAGAAATGCTACCGGAGAGATGAAAATACCATTCCTCCCTCATTCTGTATGCTTGAGCCTTCAAGACGATGTAAACAAACCAGTGTCCAGGCAAGTAACGCATTCTTCTACATGGAAAGAGATTCATTGGATTTACTACATTTTATTACGATAAGTGGTTGCAAATGATTTATATGGGCTGAATTTAAACAAACAAATTAAGTTGAACATTACTTAATCAAGGCTCAGTGGTTAGCACTGTGGATTGTGGTCACTGTAGGCGGTTTATTCCGCTGTGGCAACCCCTGATTAATAAAGGGACTAAGCCGAAGGAAAATTAATGAGTGAATAAATCAAATTTGTTTGTTTAAATTCAGCCCATATAAATAGTTTGCAATCAATTACCTTAAAAAAAATTTTTCAGTGTAAAATGATGTCGCATATTTAACATTAAGCTAAAGTTCTTAATGTTTTGTCATTAGCAAGAGAATCCAACTGAGGAGAAAAACTGGTGCAAGGTTTTTCCAGAGGTGAGGAGGATCCTCCATGATGTTGTGAACCAGTGTATACAAGAGGGGACTTTGGCACTTGAGAAAGCACAAAAATATTTCCAATCATGTAAGTCAGGTCAAATCAAGTCATCTTTACCTTTATAAAATGTGTGAATGCTGCTCTACATGGATGCCCCGAAAAAAAAAGGATAAAAAATTATATGTTGGACATATCCAACACAGGCTCATTCTGAAAACGTACATTTCTCAAATTATGTAGCCAGAACTACGTATGGCTGCATTTTGTCTTTAAAACGAAAGCAACAGGGCGGTATGATGGCGTTTCGTTTCACGCTAACCAGCTGACCACTTACCTCCATGTGGATAGCTTTACTGCTGTTACCAGTTTGTCCTGTAGCTCGACGTGTACTGTGTGTCAGCAGACTTGAGACACAGAGTGGAGTTGACCACGACGATGAGTTTTAGGTCTGGCGAAGAACGGTTCTAAAAAGCAGGTAAAACTTAAACAGAATCGAAAAAAATAGAATAAACAAGAAAATAACAGGGTGAGAATGTGGTAAAATCTGAAAACGTGGTAAAAATCAGGTGAGGGCTTTTCATTTTCCTGGACTGTTTTTAAAAACTGTTGATTGCATTTAGGGAAGTAAGTTGGCATATAGCGGTACGTATTCACTGGTCAATCTGTGCTTTTGAAAACACTATTGGTTGGGTTTAGGGAAGGAGGAGGCTGGGTCAGTCAGTCAGTCAGTCAGTCAACAGCAGCCTGATTATGCAAGAACAGCAGGCACGAATGGCACTAGAGAAAGAAATTTGAGATCTCAAAATGTGTACACAGCAGCCTCTGAATTCGCAAAAACAAAAACTGCAAAAAAAAAAAAAACGTACCTCCTGGGATGTATTTGGCGCTCTCTAGAAATGTATATAGCGGTACGTATTCAGAATGAGCCTTGGTTGGACATATTTAGCATTTCAGGCAGGTAGTGAAATAGTTTTTGAATTTTAGTGTAGTTCTAGTTAAATTAAAATGAATGCAGTTCAGTTTAATACAAATGTCATTGTTGAAGGACGATGTGCTGAAAAATAGCCCCACCAAGTCTGTCTAATTTATGGGTGTCCAGAGCTGTTCCTGTACTGCAGAGTTTTCCTTCATTCCCAATTTAGCACACCTGAACCAGCTAATACCCTTAAATTGTGCCTATTTGAGGGAGCAGCCATTTGTAGTGGTGTCCAAAACAAAAGTAGATGTTCTGAATGACTCAATCCCATCGGCGCGCTGAATGAATTTCCATGTCTAACCTTAAGATCGCATCCACAGCAGATTCCCATTGTGTAAGTTTCTAAATAATTAATTGTTTCATTGTTAAATGAACATTTGTATACATCATAGAAATCTAAATGCTTTGTATCATTACTAATAGACAGCTCACTAAGTGTTAAATAGCAAGGTCTGACCATTAAGTTGTAATCTAATCCGTCTAAGGCAGGGGTGCCCAACCTCGGTCCTGGAGGGCCGGTGTCCTGCAAAGTTTAGTTCTAATGTTCTCAATCAAACATATCTGGACTAGCTAATCAAGCTCTTACTAGGATTTCTACAAACATCCTTGCAGGTGTGTTGAGACAAGTTGGAGCTAAAATCTGCAGGACACTGGCCCTACAAAACCGAGTTTGCTCACCTCTGGTTTAAGGGATAAATCAACCAGCAAACCACAAATAAAACTGCATTTTTTATCTGGTGCAACTCAAATTATTTTTATTCACTCCTCTAAGTGGACTTTATTAGTGCAATAATGTAAAGAAATGTGAATGAACAATTTTGGACTACCCAAGCTCATTCTGAAAACGTAGTCCCATGGACGTTTCTGGAGACAGCGCAATACGTCCCGGAGCATACGTACAGCCGATTTTATTTTTTTCAAGCGAACGCTGCGGGGCGGTGTGACGCTGTTCCCTTTCGCGCTTGCCTTACCTCCTTGCGGAGGGCTTCCCCGCTGCAACCCGTTTGTCCACTCAGCTCACCGTGTACATCAGCAGGCTCGAGATGCAGAGAGGAGTCGACCAAGACGATCGGTTTTGAGTCCGGAGAAGAGCGGTTCCAGCAATCAGGTAAGACAAAAACAGAATCCCAAAAATTAAGTGAACGAGTTTCGTAACTGGGTGAGGACGCAGCGAAATCCGAAAACGCGGTAGAAAAAAAATCGGGGCTTTTATTTTTTTTTACGGCTTTTTGTAAACTGTTGCTCGGGCCGATTGGCCGGTCGCGCTGTCAATCATCCGGTCAGTCGGACAGCGGCCTCTGTTGGGTTCACGTGAGAACAGCGGCCTCTCGCGTATTCGCGAAAACAAAAACTGCAGCCGTACGTACCCGCCGGGACGTATTCCGCGGTCTCCAGAAACGTTCGCAGGACCACGTTTCCACAATGAGCCCGGGTTGATTTTGGATAACGCAAAGGTCTTGTGCACCATACTTGGACCTCAAAGCATTCCAGTCAATTGTGTGTCACAGTCAGTAAAGCAACATTACTTCTGAGTAGGAAAAATGCCAATTGTGAGTTGTCTGAAGCATTACTAGTCATACTGGTAACTTCCAGAAAGATGTGTTGGACATTGGAGCTAAATTGTACAGGTCAGTGGTCCTCCAGGACTGCATTTGGACAAATCTGTACTAGAAAGAGTCTAATAGCTACATATTCCAAATCAAAATGGTCTAATTGTTTCTTTTCTTTCCAGCTCTTGAAAACGACCTCCGTTATGCATATGAAGGCCGTTCCAGTGAAGATGTAGCAAGATGTATCTGCTATGTTCATAAAATAACTGTCCCAATGAAGGAAAACACAATCCCCCCAGAGAAAGAAGACCAGTTGCACAGACTATCCCAGCTTCGAGATCAATTTCTGCCTAGCTTGGTTGCGTCACACAAGGCCGTGGTGTACTGCACCACCACAAAATGCAATCGTCTGCAATGTTACACACCTGAGATGAGGCTGGACTTTGGTGTTGGTCTGTGTGAGCAGCTAAATGTGGATCTCAAGAGACTTATTGATCATACTATGTTAAACAAAAGGACTGTTGCAGTTGATAACTTTGGCGAGAAAGATCTGTGCCGGATCTTTTCTTCTCTTTACAGAATTGAACGGAAGGAAGTTGAACATGTCAAATCCTACCTAGAAGGAAAAAATACATTATTTCCCTTCATACTCAATGGTGGACCATACTCAGGCAAAACTGTGCTTCTGGCTCATTGTGCAAGTCAGGTACCTATTGAAAATATCTTTCTGTTTGCAATAATAGCAATGTTTGGAATTGTATATATTCGGTAATATACTCTGTGACATTCAATATGACTTTTGTGTTATTAGGTATCAGTATGGTTGAAGAATCTGGATCCCGAGATACTTGTCTTCTTCATAGATGTCAACAGCTCCCTTAGACAGCTTCTCAAATACATATGTGAAAGAGCCGACTCAAGTAATACCAACATCAACAGCATCTTTCAGCTAAAAGAGAACTTTAAAAGACTCCTGACTGTGAGATCGACATCCAAGAATCCTCTGGTGATAATCATAGATGGTCTTGACCAGCTGCCAAAGACTGATGGACAACCTGACCTGACATGCCTTCCTAAAGCATTAGCTCCAAATGTAAAGCTTCTTATTTCTGTATCTGCAAACAGGCATGCCCTTCTTGCTGCCCTGAAGCAGTATTACCCAGATTCAGCCCTGTTCTGTGAGTTGCAACAAGTGGATACTAAAAGCTGTAACCAGCTTCTAACAACACTTCTTCAGGGGTCTAACAGAAAAATCACCTCGGGACAACAAGTATATGTAAATGAGGCTTTAAAGAAATGCACTGTCCCGTTATATGTGGAACTTCTTTACAGGCAGGCAGTCTGTTGGCACTCAGAGTTTGAGATTACTGAGGAAACACTTGATCTAGAGGTCCACAATAGCATTGTTCTGATATTTGATCATATGGAGAGGAAACATGGGAAATCTTTAGTCTCAAAAGCATTAAGCTATCTTACCTTGGCCAGGTATGGCATGACAACAGCTGAGTTGACGGATGTTCTATCTTGTGATGATGAAGTTGTCGAATCTTTCCTTCCTCAAGGTGAAGGTGTACCGGCTACATTGAGAGTCCCTGAAGTTTCTGTGGAAACCCTTCTTTCTGACCTGAAGGGATTTCTAGTGCAGAGGAACATTTTAGGCACCCAAACTCTTTCTTGGGTAAACAGACACTTCCCTTTGGTTGTATGCAAGCAGTACCTGTGCTCAGAGGAAACTTGTCTAAAGATACACCATGTGCTTTCGGACTACTTCAGCGGCTCTTGGGCAAATGGCACAAAAAAACATTTTATAATAAACAAAGATACGCAAATCCAAAGCTCCTCAGATGTCCCACGGAACATTTACATTGATAGGCAAGTACCCAGTCAACCTTGCATCTTTTCCCAACCTTTCTACATCTCTACCGCCATGCGTACACCAACACGTCCCAATCTGAGGAAACTACACACACTCTCTTTTCATTTGCTGAAAAGTGGGAGGATTGAGGAACTGGGCAGCCAAATGATTTCCCAAGAATACCTCCAGGTAATGTTGCATGCAATGCTAGCTGATGAACTGTTTTTGTGGCTTGAGAAGACATCTCAGTTGATTTTTCCCAGGGAACTTCAGCTCCTCCACGCCATCTTGAAATCTTCAGCTTGTCTGCTGAGGAACAACCCTGCTGATCTTCCAATAGTCCTGCAAGCCAAACTCCTTCCTTTTCTGAGTGTCTTTCCTAGTTTGGAGGAATGTGTGAATCCTGCAAGAGCAGAAGGTTTGAGCTTAAAATGTGGAATGAGTACTGTGTTGCCTTCAGTTCCTTCAGTACCTTATTCCCAAAGTACACCGCAGGATTCAATGGCTTCGCAAATCATACTGTCAGCTGGATCTCTCTGTGGTGCTGTGGTAGTTGTACTGGACAATGGGGCTGCTTGGGTTTGCCATGGAGCTACATGTGAAGGCTTTAAAGTAACCCAGTCCAGTAATCTAAAGTTTACAAGTGTCTGTAGCTCTGGGAACACATTCCTTTTGAGCACTTGTTGTGGTAAACTTGTCTTGTGGGATGCAGTTGTTAAAACACAGCCTCTAGAAATTAAAATCCAACACACAGAAAACCACAAAAACAAAATTCTTGAGGGTGTCTTGGTGTTGGGGGACAATTTATTTGTGTGGTGGAGAGAACAAAACATTGTTAATGTATTTGTTGATAAAGAGGAGCTTACCCAACTGTGCTGCACTTATGAAATAACCTGTGTGTTATGTTCTGGGGAAGGCAATATCATTTACTGTGGACAAAATGAAGGTTCTGTGACTATATTCGACTGGCCCAATGGACAGCTTTTAGCCACTTTGACTTGTCCGAAAGGTATGCCACTAATTGAGATTATTCTCACCGAAGGCGATGAGGTAATATCATGTGTAGATCAAGCAGGAAATGTTTTTGCTTGGGATCTTGAAATGATAACAGAACCAGTTCTGATTTGTGAAAACCATTGTGGAATCCAGGGAAAGGTTCTGAACACAGACTACAAGGGAGACAGCATACTTCTCATATGCAAAAAGCAACAAATTCAGCTCATTGACATCAGTCAAACTGATGTACTTGATCAGTTCAATCCCCCGAGGGGCAAAACATTTAAGCAAGCCATAATTGATCAAAACTCACACTTCATCCTTGCTTTGCTGTGCAATTGCTCATTTCTGTTGGTCTGGAATTGTGCCTCTGGACAGTGTGTGTTAAGTCTGGACACTGGGAACTGTCAAGATATTAATCTTCTGAAATGTGGCACCACTTACTTGGCAGCAATAGCAAGTGTAGGTGTTCTTATTTGGGACATGGATCTCATTAGAACTTCTGCTTTGGCACCAAAATCTGGAAAGAGAGTGAAGATCATCATAACTGTTGGATCTCAAGGAGGAACCTGTTATTCGGCAGATGGCTCCAAACTTGTGTGGAAGTGGGCAGTTTCAAGTGGCAAAGTAGAAGGCCGGTTTCTTCACCGAGGTTCTGTGGAGTCTATGTGCATCTCTGGAGATGGAAACTACCTTGTAAGTATTGCAGATGGTGATGTATATGTCTGGGAGACCTGCAATGGAGAAAATACTTACAGAATCTCTGGTAGTCAAGCATATAAGGTTCTAATAACACCCAAGGGAAACTTTGGGGTTGCTTTGTCAGAGAATAGTTCATCAAGGGTGTGGAAACTACAAAGTGGACACAGTATTTGCAGCATTCATCTTCATCTCAGAAATGCCAACATTTCACCTGAAGGCACCTTTCTTTTGGGCGTTAACAGTGGGAATCTCTTGGCTGCTAGCCTGTGGTCTGGCAATGTAAACAAATGCTTCTCGTGCTCTGACCAGTCAGATGTGGTTGCTTTCCATTCTCTGCTGAATCATCCGGATTTTGTGATTGTAGCTTTATCTTCAGGGGCTTTGTACTCCTGGAAGTTAACTGAGGATACGACTTGTCATCAAATCCAGCTGCCGGATTCCTTGTTTTGCCAACCAGAAATATTTGGTCTCTCATCTAATGGGGGGTATGCCGTCCTATCCATATCTGAATGCACAATAAACATCCTAAACTTCTCCAACAGCAAACTGTGCTCTTTAAGAACCGAAGGACCTGTTCTGCAAACCACTGTCGGTGTTTCTGGTCAATATATGGTCTATGCATGTTACTCTTCTCTAGTGTGCCGTAATTTATCCTGTGATCTCCATGAGAAACCAATGTTAGTAGCCATACGTTTGACTGATGGGGGAACTATTGGAAGGTTTTATTTGTGCAAGATGCCCTCTGTCTTAACCCTGTCCAAGGATTTGATTGTGTATGTGGGGTTTGAGGATGGTTCTGTTGGGGTTTATGCTGTACATGACACCAAGGTGGGTACAAGCAGCTGGAAGGCAGAAAACCTAACACTTTTGAATCCATTAGACGAGCAATTGATTTGGTCACCTCTATTAAAACCAAACCTTACATGGACAGAATTGCCTTTAGAATTTATTTGAATGGCTCCAGTGTAGACGGTTCTGGTTTTTGACATGGAAGCACTGAAATGATTATTATAACAAAATAAAAAATGCTTATTTGTTTTTGCACATAAATTAAGTTTATTTCAAAACTAATTTCCAGAGGATCGCATGCTTATGATTGACCACTGCTGGTCCAGTATTAGCTAACACGATGCACCAATCAGACGAATCCAAACACACATAAGACACAAGATTTTTCTACCTTAGTCATTTTCGTGTCGAAGAGTCCCCCCATCCACCACTACTCCTCCCCCTCTTTCCTAGATTAATCCAGGACAGGGTGGCACTGTGGCTCATTGGTTATCACTGTCGTCTCGCAGCATGGAGGTCGCTGGTTTGAGTTCTGGTCATTTCTGGGGTTTGCATGTTCTCCCCATGCTCGCGTGGGTTTCCCCCTACTCTAGTTTCATACCACAGCCCAAAGATATGCAGTTTAAGTGAATTGAGTAAACCAAATTGGCACAGTACATAAGTGTTTTAGTACTTGGATATTCACCGCATAGCCATATGCTGGTAAAGCTGGCGGTTCATTCCGCCATGGCAACTCCTATTTATGAAGGAATAGGCCGAACTAACCAATTCGGGGGGGCTCTTGAGACCTACCTGAGCTCACACTCCCTGATGAAACGGGAGGGAGCCCCATGCTCAAGGATTTTCAGCAGCCAAACATGCTTCATCATCAATCATCAGCTAACTCATTCATTGTTCTTCGGCTTAGTCCTTTTATTAATCAGGGGTTGCCACAGCGCAATGAACCACCATCTTATCCAGCATATGTTTTACACAACATACACCTTTCTATGCTGCAACCCAGTACTGAGAATCACCTATACACACTCATTCACACTCATACACTACGGCCAATTTAGCTTATTCAATTCCCCTTTAGCGCATGTGGTTGAACTGTGGGAGAACATGGAGCACCAGGAGGAAACCCACATCAACACAGGGAGAACATGCAAACTCCACACAGAAATGCCAACTGACCCAGACGGGGCTTAAACCTTGCTGTGAGGCGATCGTGCTGCCCACTACGCCACCATGCCGCCCCTAAGTTTGAACTTTTGAAAACAAATAAAAATGTATTATGTTTTTAGACATGTTTATAGTCGATTTTAGACCATGCAGTACCAAAGTTTTAACTTCACAAAAATAAATGAATAAATAAATAAATATTTGGTATAATATGCCTGGTGTGAATTATATAATATTATGTAAATCCAGAGAAACTAAGAATTGTCAAGTGCTCTCTCGTTTACATGGTTGTAAAAGGCTTTTGTTGTTGATGTTGTTGTTTTATTGTAATATTTTTTGCAAGTTTTGAGTATTTTAACATTTGTGATATTATGATTATCATTTTAAATATGTGATAAACATGTTGTTGTTTTTGTCTCATGAGTATCAGGGTGCAAATGTAAAATTCACTGTATTATATTTTCTTTTTACATTTTCTGTTTATATCATTTTCTTTGTTTTTGCATGTGTTGTTGCCTGTAGCCTGTAGCCTTACTACATTGTTTCTCTTTATGGTGTATAGACTGAATTTATTTTATTTTTTAATAGTTTTTTTTTTTTTTGATAGTTTGTTTTATATATGAATAACTTGTATAAATAACTTTTTTAAACTACACATCTGCTTAATGGCAACTATGGAAAATAAAAAAATAAAAGTCCTAAAGAGAAAAGTAGGCTACTTTGTTGATTTATTGTTATTATTATTATCATTATTATTATTATTATTATTATTGTTGTTGTTGTTGTTGTTGTTGTTGTTGTTGTTGGGCTGTGTGGTGGCACAGTGGGTAGTGCTGGCTCGAGCCTCGGCTGGCTCAGTTGGCATTTCTGTGTGGAGTTTGCATGTTCTCCCCATATTGGCGTGGGTTTCCAGCGGGTGCGCTGATTTCCCCAACAAGTCCAAAGACATACACTATAGGTGAATTGGGTAGGCTAAATTGTCCGTAGTATATGTGTGTATGGTTGTTTTCTAGTGATGGGTTGCAGCTGGAAGGGCATCTGCTGCGTTATACAGATGCTGGAAAGATTGGTGGTTCATTCCGCTGTGGCGACCCCTGATAAAAGAAAATAAATATATGAATTGTTATTATTATTATCATTTAATGCGATTCTGATTGTGAGGAGTTACAAGGCTGAAATTACCCATCTACGTCACATGACCTCACACAGGTTCAACCGCGCATACATGTAAGTGTGAGCATTATGTAAGTAATAAATATAAAATGTAATAAATATAATAACTTATAAAAGTAATAACTTATCTCTAATACAAAAACAAAAGTTGTACCGCATCAAATTTCATTCCCTCGCTGTAAATGCTAGCGCTTCCTGGTTTTTTCTGCAGCCTCGCTTCCGCGCGCAACCTGTATGTTTACAGATCCGTATTTCGCCTATTCTTATCATAACTTTTGAAACACAAACCTTTACATCCTATAAAGAACATATCTGAAAGAATATTTGACACAGAAAAAATATATAAAGGATAAAATCACAATGTTGAAGTCGATATTCACATTGTAGAAATATTTGTTTGTTCATTTTTTAATCCAATTTAGAAATATAACAACATTTTAACATTTCACAGCAACAATTATCACATGGACAAATAAAAGTTACGAAGTACAGCATATTTTACCATAAAAAAACACAATGTACAGTTTAAAAAGGACGTGTGTCTAGTGGACTACAATTCCCATCACCCCAGACAGTCATACGGAAGTGATCTTTTGCCATAAGTGCATTTCCGCTCTCTTGCCAATTCCTTTCCTGTCTGCGGCCTCCAGCAAGATGGCGGTGCAAATCTCGAAGAAGAGAAAGGTTGGGACGTATTTTATAACAAATATGTGTAATTAAACCACAGAGGTCCGCAATAACAGTCTTGTCCGATTAACACATTAATTATCCATAACATAAAAAGCTCATATGAGGGTTTTGTAAATGGATACAAGTGGATTAAGCCGGATGCTGTCGGCACTCAAACCTGACGGGAAACATGGCAGATAAACGCACCGCTGAAATAAGCGCACTTTCACATTTGTGAGGCTCAAACGCGTTTAATACAATATAAAAGTGATGTGTTAGTACGTTATAAATTCCCGAAGCTGTCGATAGGTTTAATTGACCTTGTATTCAGATATGGACGATGTAGGTTTGGATATATCAGCAACTGTATAACATTTGCTATTTTTATACGTTCGTCTTGGCATTTAAAGACATAGTTCACACCAAAATGATAATTTACTCGCCATCGAGTGGTTGTAAAACGTTTTATTTTCTTTTTTTGTTGTTGTTTGATATTTTGCAGAATGGTTAAAATATGTAACTATTGACGGTCATTGTATAAAACACTAATATTATTGGTGTCAGTGCTTACAGGTTACTAGCCTTTATCAGAAATATATTTTGTGTTCAAATGAGGAAAAACCTCAAACATGTTTGTGACAAGTGAGTGAGGGGTAAATGATGTGCTTTTTAAAACCGTGTTTAAGGTGTATTTTTACTCAAGTTTTTTAATAGTGAATTTTCATGTTTTTGCATCCGTTTGTTTTATTTCTCTTACTTTTGCACCAATCCTGTGCGTGTTCAGCACTTTAGGCATATCTTTTAGCTTATAACTGAATACTGTAAGGTGTGATTGGGGTAAAATTAGGTTTGCATTCGTTGATTTTTGAACAGTGACGATTTGTGAAAAGCTCCCTATATTGTGTTGACCACGCTACTTTAAATATTCTCACTGAAATCACATGCAAGTATGATATTTAAAGCAGCATCAGCACTATTTAATTGACTGTAAACTGTGGTGTACTTTGATAGTCATTTACTGCTAATATGATTTACCTATTTAGTATTTGCATAGAATACTTTTCTGAAATTATAACAAAGTAAAACCGACTTTACTCCAACTGTGATGCAAGTGTATCTGTATATTGTCATTTTGTTACTGCATCAGGTTGGTCTAATCGGTGTTTGTGTGTTAGTTTGTGTCAGATGGCATCTTCAAAGCCGAGCTGAATGAGTTTCTGACCCGAGAGCTCGCCGAGGATGGTTATTCCGGCGTGGAGGTCCGTGTCACACCAACAAGAACAGAGATCATCATCCTGGCCACCAGGTCTGATTTATTTCACTTCATGTTTCTTGCGTTTCCAGTAATGCTATGCTGCGATATTGAGGAAAAATGCAATCGCATGCTAAATATTGTGACAATGCATTGATATAAAAAAAAAAAATAGCCATGTTTTGTATTTAATGGAAATAAAGCACTACAGTTTTAGAAAGCAAGTAACCATGCTTTGCGTTTGCTTAAAATAAGTCAAACATTTTAACAATGTAACCAGTCAAAACCACACTGATCCACTGGTGTAGTTTAATCAACTTGAAATCATAAAGAATGATCGGAAAAGCACAATGTTATATTAACATTTGTGATTTTTGATCTGTTGCGCAACCCTAATTATCAGTTCATTTAAATGCACTGATGTATGAATTTATTTGCATCATGGACAGCTTTTTTTTCTTCAGAAAAATGTCAGAATTGCAGCATTAAGAGAGGCTTTTGTTTGTTATAAAGGGAATTCTGAAAAAGTGTAAATCAAATCTTTGAGATTAATAATATCAATTATTTTTAATTCCAAGGTGGAGAAATAAAAGTAAGCTCAGAATTACAAAACAAAATTTTTTACAGTTTAATAAATGTTAAACCTATTTATTATGTTTAAAAAAAACTGTTCGTTATTAGTTCATGTGTGTTACCCAAAAGTTATAATTTTAATGACTAAATTACAGCACTATTCCTGTATGCAATTAGGAATTGAGCATCTTGAGTGAAAATGTTATTTTAGAAATGCAATATTCCTGAATTTCCCTTCGGTGATGATACGATGACGAGTCGGAGTAGGGCCGGTTCTGTCTCTGAGGATTCTGGGTCAGGTTCACGTTCTGTGCGTCTGGCTGCAGCTCCTCAAAGCAGTGAGTCCTTTTGCTTGAAGACATAGAGGCATTTGTCTGAGAAGGAGAAATGAATGGTTTAAAAAGAAGCTTGGTAAATATTTTCTAAATAATGCGACATGAAATATTTGTAAATACTATGAAGTTTTGATAGTCTTACACAAATTGTTGCATTAACGTTCGAGACAGGTTTTAGTTTTTAATAAAATGAATACTAAAGAGTTGCCAGAATCAAAAATGAGAATGTAGTTTCTATTTTGCTTTTATTTATGGTGTAAAAAGAGTTCCCTCAGAATTATAAGAACAATATTCTGATTAATTGTCATCAGAACATAACAGCAGAATTTCTAGGAAATGTCAAGAGTGCTGATATGTAGAAATAATGCTGTAAGTAGACTTGTAATGCAGAACAGACAAAAATGCTCACATGTCCTTTTTAGAAAAACTCTGACCCAAAATGACTTTCATTCTTTCCATTGTTATCCACAAATGCGAGTGAACACGCTGGCATGTTTGTCAACCTCACTAAATGTGTCATTCAATTTCTAAAGCTCTAAATCACAGGCATCAAATTCAATTCCTGGAGGGCCGCAGCTCTGCACAGTTTAGGTCCAGCACTAATTAAAGACACCCGTTCAAATGGGTTAAATAATGGGTTCTTTTCAATGGGTTAATGCTATTAAAAAAGGCTGTTGAAATAAAAAATCCACTACTTCTCTTTTATGCTATTTAGGAGCCATGTGCTCCCAGTGACAGGTAAAGGCTGCTCTCTCTCTCTCTCTGTATAAAGTTGCTTTATTGGTGAGACATTTAGTACAGTATTGCAAAGCGTTTTAGATGTGTATAAATGATGTAATATACTAACATCATTAAATTAATAAAATATAAAGCAAATGATAAATAAATAATTGAAAAAATTAATAGAAGCAGACAATATTGCTAAATTATAATTACTAAAAAATTATAATAAAAAAGTGAATTTTTACTGGTGTGCAAATGTTTTGCAGTCAGTATATTTTGTTCTCTCCGAGTATATTGTAAAGTTGTTGTAAGAGTTGTTTATTAAATAATTAAAAATGTAATGTTTCTCTCGAGGCTGTATGCGCACAGTCAGCTGTGAAAAGGTAATGCAAAAAACATACAAAAATGGCAACTTTTAAAAGCAAAAGTAAAACCCAAATCCTGGACTTTTTAGAAGATTCAGAAACTACTGTCGAACGCATTTTGGCACAAAAGGCTCTGGCTCGGCAGAGCACGTGATGTGTAAGTGTTGATGGTTCTCGCACACACAGAACCAGCAGTTGCAATATACCTGGGCAACCATTAATATACCTGGGCGGCCCGCCTAAGTAAAGTCTATGTGTAGGAAGCACACAGAGTCCTTTAGGCTTGTTTGAAACAGAGGCAAGTGTGTTGAAGCAGGATTTCAACTAAACTATGCAGGGCATATTGTATTTGCTTTATATTTTAAGTTGCTTCATGTGCACTTCATTTAATTGCATATTGGGAACCTTTCATCTATTTCTAGGAATATCTCATTCAATGACGAAGGGCAGTTGCGACAAACTCATTGCTAGAAATTTCTAAACGACATTTGCAGTTGTGTATTTTGTTTTAAGGTATTCAAGGACAAAGCAATCTTAAGCACTACAAACTTCATTGAAAATGTATTATACACACATCACCTTTTTGTAAAGGACACTATATATATATATATATATATATATATATATATATATATA